CCCCCCCCCGTCTATCGACAAAATAAAGCCCCGCTAACGGGCCGAGCGTTTCTCCGATATACGGCCCTTCCGCCCCTGGACCTCGCGGCTCTTTAGCCGAGCGAATCAATAGCCTCGATCGAGATTCCCGTCAGTCGCGCTGTTAATAAAAAATTAACGTATCTCCCTGCCGCCGATACCATCCCGTCGGTAACGAATCCATCTGTTAACCTCTCATAATTATTTCCCGGCTGCAACCCGATGTCTATCTGTAGTCTGCACTCCGTCGGCATATTTATAATTCGATAGCGAGAGTTCAGCCATAGGAGCTTGGAAATAGGGTCGTCGTTATTTGAAGATTCTGGCTTGCAAATAAAGACAAAAAAAGGAGAACACAACATTTTCCTTATTGAGTAAATCCTTTTACGCTGAGAGCCGACGACACATTTCCAATATGTCGCAAGCGAACTTCTTCAAAACTCTCGATCTTTTCTCTCTGTGAATCCGATAAACTATTATTGTCCGAAAAAATCAATTGATCATTAGGAGATCGCCAGAGCAAATCTCCAGTTGGGCACGCAGATGTGGACAAAGAGAAAAGCGGAGGGCACTTATGGGGCTCCGGAAAAACTCTCGAAAGGTAGTAAACTGTCTTTAGAGGGTGTCGCCGCCATGGGTCTTCCGGGCTCTTCCGGACTCTTCCGGGCGCAAGCCCACCTACAACGGGGTGACAATACAATTTCGCAGGCTCACCTCGTCCTGACTCCGGCACAAGGGGGTTGCCGCCGGGCCAGGGAATCGCGTACCCGGATGGGAGTGACGGAGCCTCTAGAACTCTCTAGGGCCATAGCTCCAGGAGGGTGGGGGGAAAGCGGAAAAAAGGGTGAAAACGTAAAGAGATTGTCTTTCGTGAGCGCTTAAAATTTGCACTTTTATACTGGGAAACTGGCGAGTTTTACGCTCCCCGTCGACATGAGGAAATGGTCGACGAGAGGAAATGGATACCAAGAGACAAAAAGACGGAATCGAACGGGACGACTGCGAAGGGAAAACGAAAACGACCAATATAATCAAGAACAGAACGGAAAATTTGACAACAGAGACTGCAAGAATGAGAACTCGATTATGCCATAGAAGTTACAGACTTTTACTTTAGATTGTACTA